AAACTGGAAGCTGTGATTTGCTGGAAGCAAATGGGAACATCCCCCTAGCTAAGGAACAGGTATTATGCTTTCTCCTTTTCCAAAACTCTGAGTTACTTTGTGTTTAAGCAAATACCACAAAGGAAGTTTAAGCTGCTTTTGAAAGCATTAAGCCTTTTGGTACCTTTTTTCCATTACCACCATCTCACATGGAGTATAACCCCTTCCCACACCTTGCCCACATTCACAAGACACATACAGATGAGATTAAAAGTGTTTCCTGTTCCCTGGGAAAACGAGAATGGATGAAAATGTTTCATGCAGGGATTACAATGTGCACAAATCACCTTCTTACATTTTGTTTCCATGGAGCTTTGGCTCCTAATAGAAAGAATTTTTTTAAATAAACCTCTTGTATTTGGGCAGCTCTGTCAGTCACAGCTACATAAATTGAACATAGCATATGATTCATGAATTCACAATCAAACTAAAAGCATCTCATCAAAAACAGGATACTATTCAGTATGAGTTCTTCCACAAGATTAACACTGTCATTCCCAGATGTTCAGTACCATCTGTGAGCTGTCTGTGAAGCACAGCTCACATTCACCATTCCATGTATTGCTAGACAGCCTTTTGAGTGGCTGACAGGAGTTGGAGCTACAATCCTCTCTCTTCACCACTGTCTCTGCCACATCCACACAGAAAGATAGAGATACCCATGGACTACTAGAAGAACACAAATGAGAAAATACCAGGAAGGATAGCGAACTCAAATTCCAGGCAAAATCGCAGAGCTGAAAGAAGTCTTCTCAAGAAATTTTCTCTTAGTCACTTCCTTGACTGCAGTTTTCTCAAACTTACTGTGTAAAATAATTTACTGACTTGTTTCAGGAAATAATTTCAGACCTTCACTGAATTCCAGCGCAGTTTTGTACATTTCAACTCTGCTCTGTTTTGAACTGTTATGCTCAGTTATGAAAGTCATGATCAGCTTTCTATTCCCCAACTACACAAAAATAAATATAAAACCAAAGCTTCTTCTTGGATATTCAGGTTAGCAAGAACAAAACCTGCTTTGTATCGCTACTCACTTCAAATCCTGGCTTGTGTAAACTTTACTGATGACAAAGCAAACACAAAAAAATGTTCAAACAATAAAAATAAAATCTCTTAAAAATGTGAAGGAATATTCCACTACAACATAGTTATGAAGAGCATTACTTCAATTATACAATGAGATAAACAATGGAGAAGTTTAAATATTTTGGAATTTGCCATCTCATTCCTTGCCTTCAGCTAAAACACAATTTTTTATAAATAAAAAAAAAAAACTTCCACATTAAACCAATTTTGAAGTGGCAACAACTGTGTCAGTAACCACACTCCACATCGTTCTGTGATTATGTGATTCTGCTGTAGAAATTCTGAGACTTATTTAATGTCGTATTGCAAAAAATCTGTAACAAATGCAACCACTTGCAAAATAACATATGACATATACACAATGTAGATGTTTCATTCTTTCCACAATACTCTTTAAATATGTTAGAACAACTTTTTCAATCATATTTTAATTTAGACAATCATCTTTCTTCCTGAATTTGTCTTTAACAAAACAAAAATTTGTTTATTGTGAGAAAAAGCATGAAAGCTACATAGGCATGAATTCATAATTGCTCTTATCACATTTAATTCCATGCAGAGACCCTCAAAATCAGTTATTTGGTGTAGAAGGAAAGTGCTGCTCCTATTAAGAGGAAGCATAAAAGATTACTTGTAAATAGTCTTCCATAAAGCATCCTTTACTAGGAGCTGATTTGTCTCCCAAGGTAGAACTCTAGATTGCACTGGTAACTGAAGAAATTTTATCTTTTTATTCATCTTAGTCAATAATTGGCCCTGTAAAGATACAGTCTCAGAAACAAATCTCATCCCATGGTAACTGTGTGGTTGGAAGAAGTGTGCAGCTAGGCCCAGAGCTGTGAGCAGGGGGGAGTTCCTGTTGCTGTGCACGGCTGGCATCTCTGGTTGCACCCAAAAGAATGCCACAGAAGAGTGCCATGAGACTTTCTTACGGAGGAGAACTGCTGATGAAGGATTTATATCTGCACAATTTCAAGCTTGATTCTGCAAAGGATGATCAGTGTGATCCAAGTTTGGTCCTGGGGTGTGGGTGATTTTACTAAGCGATTTGCCCCAGGGCATCCTGTGAGGAACAGGTCTCCTCAAGCAGCTAGGATAATTTTTATTGTATTCAGGTGCATGGGCAGGCACAGACACCACATTTCAGGCACCCATGCTGGATAATTTAAACGAGCAATTCTCAGCTGTTGCCCCTAGTTACAGCTAAGGCAGAGTTAATTTTTTCTCAGTAGCTATTGCAGGGCTGTGTTTTGGATTTGGAATAAGAATGCTGTTGATAACACACTGATGGCTTGGTATTTTGCCAAGTCGTGTTTATCCTACCTCAAGGACTTTTTTCCCCCCTTCTCTTATGCTCCGCCAAGGAGGCGGCACGCAAATGAAAGTGGGAGGGAGCATGGCCGGGACAGGTGACCCGCACTGACCAAAGGGATGTCCCACACACGGGAATTTGAACTGGGGCGAATAACCCAGAAGGGCGGATGCTCCGGTTTCGGCGAGGGGGGTCTGGCTCAGTCACTACGGGGGGGAGCAACTGCATTGTTGCGCTTGTTGTTACTGTTGCTTCAATTATTCACTTCCTCTAATGCCAACACACAAGTTTTAATTGGATTCTCCTCCGCGTTCCACCGACGTGGGAAAGGGAGGGGCTGGGGGAAGCTCAGCGGCCACCTGCTTCATCTCCAGCTGAGCTTCAAACCACAGCAGCTTTTCCTTCCGCATCCGGCCCCGTCCCCGCCAGCCCGTCCCCGGCGGCTCGGTGCGCAGGCGGCGGGGCGGGCTGCACAGGCGGTCCCAGCGGCTCCCCCGCCCCCGTGCCGCCCCGGTTCCGCCCCCACGGCCGGCGGTCTCCGTGTCCGTGTCCGCGTCCGCGGCCGGCAGTGCCCGCCATGCTCGATCCCGATCCCGATCCCTCCGCGCGGGGCCTGTCGCTGTCGCGACGCGTCTGTCACGAGCCTGCGCGCGGGCACGGGCGCGCCGGGCCCTGCCCGGGGTCGTGTGGGGTCCTTTGGGATCCATCCCTGGCTCGCGGGATCCATTCGTCTGGAAAAGGCTGCTGAGGTCGGCGGGTGCTGCCCACGCTCGAGCACCGCCGCCCTGTGAACCAGACCGTGGCGTCAAGTGTCATGTCCAGCCTTCCCTTAAACACCTCGAGGGACTCCACCACGTCCCTTGGCAGCCCATTCCGATGTCCCATCGCCCCATCTGTGAAGGATTTGTTCCTGATGTCCAATCTGAACCTTTCCCCCTGTAGCTTGAGACTCTGCCATTTTACCTTGTCACTGTCCTCAGCCTCCAAGAAGATGTGGACCCCACATGGCCACAGCCTCCTGTCAGGGAGTTGTAGAGTGATCAGGTCACCCCTGAGCTTCCTTTTCTCCAGGCTAAACAACCCCAGCTTCCTCAGCCACTCCTCACAGGACTTGCACTCCAGACCCTTCACCAGCTCCATTGCCCTTCTCTGGAGCAGAAGTGGCCCTGTCGTGTCCCAGTGTCTGTGTAAGCAGCAGAAACCTTCAGGGCCTCTCAGTTCCCACAGAAATCCAGTGTGTAATGGGTCGCTGCTGCGGGCTCCATACTCAGTCAGGATCCTGCAAGGGTTTTGACAGCCCCAAGGAGCTGTGACTCATGCAAGTCAGTACTGATGTGTCATGCTGCAAAGGGCCATTGAGGAACAGAGCCATTGATTTTCACCTTCTGTATTCCAGCGACCTGGAAGTGCAGCCAGCTGGGGAGGGTCAGGCTCTTCTCCCAGGTAACAAGTGACAGAATTAGAGGAAGCGGCCTCAAACTGCCTAAACCAGGAGAGGTTTAGATTGAATATTAGCAGAAATTTATTCACTGAAAGGGTTGTAAAGCACTGAAACAGGGGAGTGGTAGAGTCACCACCCCTGGAAGTGTTTGAAAACCAGTAGAGTTGTCGCTTGAGGATATGGTTCAGTGGTGAACCTGGCACATGCCACAGTGGATTCACAGTGGATGGGATGATCTTAAAGTAATTTCTAAACATAAACTATTCTGTTCTGTGGCTTGAGTTGCATGGTGCTCATGCCTCAGATTGATGTGAAATAGGACATGTCCAAAATCCAACCTGTAGCTGCCTCTGTGCAAACATGGGCTAAGGCCAAAGCTGTGTTTTGGCCCTAATTTTTCATGTTTTATTTGAGAGGTGAGTAGCATGTTCCAGGTTATTGAGGCAGCTGCAATATTATCTTAGTCTGGGACTCCCAAAGGGTTTTATCTAATATGAACAGAAAACTGTTCTTGATCAGCCCTTAGGAAGCAGCCAGTAATGGGCTAGGATGTGGACTTAAGCAGTCTTTTGTTGGAATTAATCACTGTTTCCTAAGTGTTGGTATCTTCTTCTTTCATTTGCCAATAATGTGTAATTTTCTAATACTGGTATATGATTGTCAGTGGAAAAACACAATGCAGTAGAGTGGGTTGGTTGGGTAAGTGCAGCACAGGCAGATGTTGGAGTTGTTTCCTCTTTGGTGGCATCTCAGCAGCCTTGCTTTTGAGTAATGTGTTTAGCCAAATGCATCTTGCTGCTGACTTCCTGAGGAAGAGGTTGAGACAAGGAGAGTCCTGCTTTGTTATGAGCTAATAATTAAGCAGTTGAGTGCATCAAAAAAAAGACACATTACAGTCTGTTGCATTGCCAAAAGGAGTGGCAGCAAATAATGCACATTGGAACTACTTCCAAAGAAAAGTCTCAAAAGGTACTTCTTTTGTAGTGGACATCATGAAGTAAGTACCCCTCTCCCAGCCTGCAGTAACAGATCCTTCTGTTACTGTTAATTAATTGCATTAATAAAAAAAAAAATAGACAAAATACAACTTTCTGGCTTGAGAATTATTTTTACTATTTTTTCTTACTATTTTCTTTCAGGCATGCCTTGCTACAGGGCCCAGACAAAACAATGGCATTTTCTATGAAATTCGCACCTACGATATTAAGCCAGCGAAGATGAAGGAGTTTTTGGAAATGGTCAACAAGTACTTTCACTTTCGCACCGCTCACTCGGAGCTGGTGGGATTCTGGTACTCGGAGCTGGGAGCGATGAACAAGGTGCTCCACATTTGGAAGTACGGTACGCTCAGCATCCCTTCGCGCTGCTCTGCTCTCTCTGTGTCCCCTGTCTCCTAGGCAAGAAGGTGAGGGGAATGCCTACCTGGCTTTTGTTTGTTGCTCTCATTGGAGATGTCCCCAAAACATTGCTCCTGTACTGGCTAGTGACAAGGACACTTCAGAGCTTGTCAGGACAACTTTGAGGTGTTGGGATGAGAAAGTTACAAATTTTCTGGAACAGCAGGCTCGGTTCAAAACAGGTCTAATAGAGGAACTGTGACAGAGTGTTTCATTCATGGTAAATATTTTTAACTTAGGGTCAGTTCCACAAATGTTTTGAAACTTTCAGAGCTGATGGAAAAAAAGAAATATACACACATATGCAGTCTGTGTGTGTTTATCTGCATGTATAAATGTTCTTGTATTTTAGCTCAGAGTACCAGTCACTCCCATAAAAAAAAGAGCATGCAGTTTGCATGCTTGAACTCCTTGTGCAGTGGGCCTGTACTAAGGTGAGAAGCTACTTCACCAGGTCTGACTTCTCAGACATGCAGAGTGTTTTTGTTGTAGCTTTAACCTTGCTAGCAATATGGTTTTTGCAGTATGATCAAATTTTTGTCTTGCTGGAGTTGGTGCTGACGTGGAATGTGCAGGTAAGCCAGAAAAGGAGCTGTTATGCTAAAAATATGCTAAGTGTGCTGGCTGTGCTTTTTGTGGAGCCGAAGGGAAGTGATATTTGTGTTATTGAGGAGTGGGAAAGCACAATGGTATAATTCCCCTTGAACACCTGCTGCAGTCCAGGTGTATCTACATGTTGAGACAGTGTGCTCATTGAAGTCCAGTGTGGCCAACAGTACCTGTTTAGATTAAAGGATCACCCCTTTTGTTTTGGAGGGATGGATCATGGAGTCAGAGAATTGTTTGGTTCCTCTCAACCATGTTGCTCAGGGCCACCTCCAGCCTGGCCTCTAACACTTCCAGGGGTAGGGCATCCACAGCTTCTCTGAGCAGTGTGCTTCAGTACCTCAGCATTCTCACAATGAAGAATTTATTCATTATATCTAATCTAAACCTTTCTCCATCCCCCAGAAGGTATTTAAAGCCAGGCTGGATGGAGCTCTGTGTGGCAGGTGTCCCTGCACATGCCAAGGGGATTGAGACTAGGTGTTTAGAGGTCACTTCCAATCCAAACCCTCCTGTGATTCTTAGTCTACCCTTTGTCATTTTAAAGCCATTCCCTCTTGTCCTGTCACTACATGCTCTTGTAAAAAGTGCCTCTCCAGCTCTCTTATAGGCTCCCTTTAGGTGCTAGAATGCTGCTGTAAGGCCTCCCTTGTGCCTTCTCTTCTTCAGGCTGAATAGCTCAAAAGTGTTGCAGCTTGCCTTCACAGGAGAGGTGCTTGAGCACTTGGATCATCTTTGTCACCTCCTCTTATGTCAGACATTCTTCCTCATCCACCAAAGCTGTAGCTCCATCACAGAAGGCCAAAATTAGTCAGGCACAATTTGCCCTTAGTGAAGCCATGTTGGCTGTCACCAATCACCTCATGTCCTTCCATGACCCTTGGCATAGTTTCCATAAGGATCTGCACCTTGATCTTGCCAGGCTGGAGATGGCCCTGAGCCAGGGTGAAACTGACCAAACTGTAGTTCTGCAATTCTTCTTATGTTCCTTTATAAAAATGGGCTGCCATAAGTTGTCAAATACAAGGAATTGTGGCTTAGCCAGTTCCTCTGACAGTTTCCTCAGGACCCGTGAATGTATCTCATTGAGTCCCATTGGTTTGTGCACCTTCACATCCCTTGGATGGTCTCAGACCTGGACTTTTCCTACAGCAGGTGGTTCTTCATTCTCACAGTCCCTGCCTTTGCCTTCTGTGACTTGGGTGGTCAGGCTGGAGCACTTGCCAGTGCAGACCAAAGCAAAAAAGAACATTGAGTACCTCAACATTTTTCATGACCTGGGCAGCCACGTCTTTCTTTTCCTTCAAGAGAGGACCATTCATTTGTCAATATTTTAAGTTCACTTGCATTTATAAATTGTCCTGCTTCTCAGAAGAGAAGCAGGACAATTTATTCTTTTATTCTTGGCTATTGTGACTATCTCTAAATTAAAAAAAAAATCTATGGGTAACTTTTACAATGCAAAACTAAGACAAAAACAATCCCTTTTGTTTCCTAAGAGTGTTTTACAGTCTAATTGCGGTTCCTCCCCCCACCCCAAGACCACACTATGATCTGAGAAACGAACAAACTTTACAACATCCTTCCTCCTTGATTCATCAGGTCCCTGCTTACCTAATTTCTATATTTACTTCTTAGTCCCAAGATACTGATATTTTTCAAGGTTCTTCCCATTCTCAGATGCTGGATTTTTCTTTTGTAATATTGGGGACTGTCTGCGTAAATATATTGCTTAAGATGCCACTGCAGCTTAAGCAATTGAAATTCACACTCCTAATTAAGTGGATTTGTTTTCCATTAAGAAAAAAAAAGAAGAAATGGTTTAGCTTCTGGGCATTTAACATCTTTTTATTAAACTGAACACACAAACATTAATTCTGCACTTTTAATGTCACTTTGTATAAGCCAAAGCACATTTATTAATTTTTTTTCTTGATAGACTACTGCTTCACCTGATTTTTTTCCACTTCATTTCCATATCCACTGTGCTTTCTCCAAATCTTATCCTGAGTAACTGTTGCCACATCCAGTAGTCCCTGAAATTGCTATGTATAAATCTTTTTAAATAGTAAAATTGCTTAACTTATTTCAAGTCTTTTGTAAACTTTTTTGGAATATTCCATTTGGCTTGAATCCGTTTTAATCTGACAGCTAAAGCAGATTTTAAAGGAAGTTTTGCAGAACTTAAAGAAAACTTACCACATCTGTGTTGAGCTAATATGATGTCTAAAAATACCAGTTTCAAAATTGGATAAGTGTATTTTGCCTTCTTGCAATTACACATTTTGATTGAGTCTGATGTGACATCATATGCATTTTTTCATGGTTTTTATTTCCTTTCTTACAGATAATTTTGCCCACAGAACAGCAGTCCGGCACGCGCTAGCAAATGACAAAGACTGGCAGGGAAAATTCATCTCTGCAGCTCTCCCCTTGGTAGAGAAGCAGCACAATGAGGTTGCTTATCTGGTGCCCTGGTGTCAGCTCGGGAAGCCTTCAAAGGAAGGGGGTGAGCTTATATTTTCTTTTGCTGATTAAAGCTACTGACACTAACAAAAAATGGCTTAAAGTTTAAACCTGGTATTGCACAGTTTTTTGACCCTTTACATAACAAATGCATGTACGTGCACCCATGTGGAAAAGGTGACACAACACAGTGAAAGACAGAGTTTTTCTGAAGGATTTTACACTAACATACAGCAATAGCTGACTGGAGCTGACTGATCGTCAAGGTTGTTAATGATCAGGATGGTGACTTGGTAAATGAACGTGCAAAATGGCAGTGCCGTAGTAGTGGTCAGAGCAGTCATCCCAGACTTCCTTTGTTTGTCCATCAGTGAGAGGACATTTTCTGGATAATCATTGTTCTCTTTCACAGAGATTTTCCTCTTATCAATTTGCTTTGATGTTACTGCTTATTTCACATAAAGTTTAAAAGATTCCTTACTTTTTAAAAGATACGTGAAAGTCAAACATAAGGATCTACTCCTTGATCTTGCCAGGTATGGAGGTGAGACTGACCGAGCTGTAGTTCTGCAATTCTTCCTTATGCCCCTTTTTGTAACAATCATGGGTTAGGTGTAGAAATCACATCTCTTTGCATTTTAATTCTCTCTGGAGCAAATTTGATGTTAGTAATATTGACTGTTCCCCAATTCATGAACATTGGCAGGCTTTCTTGCATGAAGCGACAGGGAGCAGACCTTGCTTCAGCCCTCAGCACATGTGTAACTACAGTAATCTTTGTTCTTTATTTCCTTTATTCAGGATTTGGAATTTTATGCTGCTGCTGTTGAATTTGAAAGCAGTCCAGTTTTCTCTAAAGTCTGGAGAGACGACTTCAAACACTTTTGTAGTTTATCTCCAGCCTGTTGCTGGAGAGTGACACCAGACACTACTAGGAGCAAGTGTCTGACTTTCTATTACTGTGTCAACAATTGTGATCTGAAGTAACCACCTGAACAGAAAGAAGACAAGTAACTTTTAGCAGGACTGGAGTTTTTTTGGCAAATTATGCCATTTCTCTACAAATAAGAGAGATCACTTGGCACAGCAGAGGTGCTAAACTAGTACTGCTCTTTTGGTTATGCTATCAGATCTTAATGTAACCAACTGCCAGGAGTCAAGAGGAGTTTGTAATGTCATGAACCACTTCAATGCCAGAAAACATCTCCAGTCGTAGAAAAGACACCCAGCATTGCTCAAGCAGACGCCCAAATCCCTCAAACAAGTATGAGCACTTGTGGTATCTGAAAAGTAGTCTGAATATCCCAAAGTCTCTATGCAGCATTGAAAATTGCAAAGTTGGGCTTTGTGTGCAGCCTTTTGTTCTTCAGGGCCCTGGTACTTAAGATTGACACATGAACTAATTGCTGGTAGTGAGTTTGTGCTTTTGTGAGCCTCTGGAAGGTGTGAGTTCTTGTGTATGTTGGGAGGAAGGGGCAGTTTCCTGCTGTCCCCAAATGACAGGGAAGTGTTATACTGGTCTCACAGCAGATACACTGTGGCCATGAGGCATGGTTCAAGATCTGGTGTATTAATTTGTATTTCCTTCCTTGTGGTAGTGTTTGACTTTTCTTCTAGGTGTATATGAATGGGTTACTTTCCAGATGAAGCCTGGTGGGCCAGCATTGTGGGGTGAAGCATTTCGAGCTGCAATCAATGCTCACATCAACACAGGATATACCAAGCTGATCGGTGTTTTCCACACAGAATATGGATTACTTAACACAGGTTCTCATCAATTTCTGATACAGACTTTGGAACAGGAAGGGGCAGAGGCAGAGGGGCAAGCCACTGTCCTGGATCAGGATTGGCTGGCTTGCTGAAAATGTTGGTGTGGATCACTGAAGTCCTGTAAACAGTCCTTGAACCCAGCTTTGTATATTGGGTTATAAACTTAAGCCAGTTGCCTCAATCTTAAAAGACTTCAGATCTGATATTAAAGTCAAACCATGCAATGGCTCAGTGAAAGATCATCTCACCACTGGCATGCCTGGAGAATTGTTTCTGATAACTGCAAGGCATGTAACAGATGAAGGCAGATTGCTAGGGCTTAGAGTACATCTTGTATTGCAGCATAATAGTGCTCAGCTGACTTTATGTGTGCTTTCTCAGTCCATGTGTTATGGTGGAACGAGAGCCCAGATCACCGGGCAGCAGGAAGACACAGCGCCCATGAAGATGCCAGAGTTGTAGCAGCTGGTAAGACATGATGAATCTAGAGCACTTACTTGTGTTACCTGCATGCATGCTGAGAAAAGTATTGCTTTTCATTAGAATATTGTCTTAATTAAACATGTATTTAATTTTAGTGCGCGACAGTGTCAGATTCTTGGAGTCCCAGCAAAATGTGCTTCTGATTCCTCTGCAATGCTCACCACTGAAGTAACCTTCTTCTAAAGGATGTAACTGATGGCAGAAGAGACAAGATGGAAGTGTCAGCAAGTGACATGGACCCTCATACCCTCATGAGCTGTGCTGTTCTTCAGTGGACTAGAAATGGATGCAAAATGCTGATCCACTGGCAGTGTAAATCAGCACTCTGATACCAAAAACAGAAGTTTACGGTGATGTTCCTACATCTCCAGGACAAAGAACTTCATGACACAAACCATGTATCACCAGCCTTCTATTTTAATCCCTAAGTTCTTAATAATTTTTTGCATAGCTAGATCACTTACCAAACTGAGAAAGTTAAGTACTCTTGTCCAGCATTCCAGCCAGGGATGGTATCATTTTTATAACATGCTTTGATGCCCCTTATAATTATCACATCTTAGTTAGTCTATACAGTTTTAAGAAGGAAAGCTCCCACATATATCTTACCCACTTATGTTTTAATCTGACTTCTCACTGGCATACTTTATATTAATTCTGAGCAATGTGCAACATCAGTGGGGCTGATCAGGTAGTGTATCCTAATGAGCTCTGCCATGAGACTTTTTACAAAATAACTTGTTATGGCTTATTTCAGCCTTTTCCTTTTTCATTAAACACGGCCTCAAAACTGTGAGTTATCCACACAAGCTTTGGCTGGGGCATTTTAATATTTGTTTAGGGTGCTAAGGGTGATTAGCCCTTCTTCTTCAATTGTGTCATCAGAATCAACTGATTTACATGTGCTGTCATTCTTTGAAATACTTTTTCTCAGACTTTTAGTTGAAAGCTAAATAAATGAGCATAAAGCATTAATTCTTAGTGGTTGTGGCTCAAGCTCTTACTCTTTTTAACTACGAAATTATAAATCTCATTCTCCAAGTACAGTACTAATTTTGCAGGTCTTGTCTTTTGGTCAACAAGAAATTGCTTTAGAACCAGTAAGCTAGAGTGAGTAGCAGTTGGGCAGAGGGCACATGGGCTGAGAAGTCAAACTTACATTTTGTGTACAGTGGTACAGAGCACCCTCTTCTGCAATTTATAGGTATTAACTAAAAATTGCAGAACACTTGGGAGGGTTTTCTACATGTTAATCATGGAGCTGCAATGAGCAGTTGAGTACTGAAGTATCTTAGTGCAGTTTGCCTAATGATTATTGCTTCTTTAAAGTGCAGTAAGATCTCACAGAAAGCACTAAAAATGAGCTCTGGGCCATCATGCTTGTGTCCCTGGTGGGTGCATGGGATGTGGCTGCTATAGTTAAGGGAGTGTAACGGGTCCCATCTGCCATCTGCTATATCCATGTCTTCATACACTGCTCCCTCCAACAAAGCCGTGTTTAGCATTCTCAGGGTGGAACAAACAATACTTCAGAGACCCCTGTCTTACATTTTACAAATCAACCTTTGGAAGTACCAAGAGCTGGTGAACCAGTATATTGTTCAGAACATTGCCTTAAAGAGTTCTTTCAAAGGAAGACTTTTTTACACCAAAAAAACCCACCATGGGCTGAAGAGTGTGGAGAGAGAGTTAAAAATACTTTTTTTTTTCATTTGAATGCAAGAATTGTTTCCCTGGGTTTCATGGGTTTTTTTGGTTGGTTGTTTTTTTTAAATTAAAACTATTTTCTGTAACACCAGCACTGAGAGTAAAGGACATTCAAGATGTTAGAGGTGTGCTTTATCCTGAGGTGCCAGCTGGACACTAGACCAAAACAGAAAACTCAGGAAATTAAAAGGCCTAGGCAATCATCAACCACATGAAGTTCAAAGTGCCAGATTCTGCACCTGGGGTAGGGCAACCCTGGCTGTATAGAAAGGCTGCGGAACAAGATGTTAGAAGGCAGCAGGAATGGGCCCTGAGGATTCCTGGTCGCAGGCAAGTTGATCATGAGTGAGCAGTGCCCTGGCAGCCAGGAGGGCCAGCTCTGTCCTGTCCTGGGGTGCATCAGGCACAGTATCACAGCCAGGCAAGAGAGGGGATTGTCCCACTCTGCTTCCACTGGGGCTGCCTCACCTTGAGTGCTGGAGGCAGGTTTGGGTGCCACTGATGCCTTTTGGGACTACGTAAAAACAGAGGCCAGACAAAATTAGGGGAATAAAAAGCAGTTATGTTTATTGAATGGCCTTCAAGATACATTTCAGGCAGATGAAGGTGCTCCCCCCATCCCCAGGGGCTACACCTAAAAATGGACAATGTGTCACGGGTTTTCATACTTTTGTAAATTTGGTCCTTTTGCAGACTGGGGGTTAATCTTCCAAGTACAGCTCTAGGTAATGAAGTAATTTACACCAAGTTTGCTCCCCTCAACTCACTTCTGTTTACATTTCTTAGGGCCTAAGGAAGTAAGGTGTCCTTGATTCCTAGGCCTGGAGAGGAATTGTTTTGTCTGACCAAAATGGGAAAACAGTAGCCAGCACTATATGTGGAGTTTATACACTAAAGAACTGCAGGATGACAAATATATGACAAATAAAAAAGCTAAAATCCTAAGGCATCGTTACAATGTAAAAAAGATTAAGCCATTAGAGAGGGTCAACAAAGATGGTGAAGGACCCTGAGGGGAAGCTGAATGAGGAGCATCTGAAGTCCCTGGGTTTGTTCAGCCTGGAGGAGATTGAGGGGAGACCCCATTGCAGTTACAACTTCCTCCTGAGGGGAAGAGAGGGGCAGACACTGATCCTGTCTCTGTTACCCAGTGACAGGACTTCAGGGAATGGTCTCAGTTTGTGTCAGGGGAGGTTTAGGCTAGGTATAAGAAAAAGGTTCTTCATCCAGAGGGGGGCTGGGCACTGTAACAGGCTCTCCACAGAAGTGATCACAGCACCAAGCCTGACACAGATCAAGAAGTGTTTGGACAATGCTCTTAGGTATATGGTGTGATTCTTGGGGATGATGTTGTGTAGGGCCAGGAATGGGACCTGTGGATCCTTTACGGTCTCTTCCTACCCCCTTAATTCACTTCTTATACCAGGATGAATTTTCCTGATGAGTGTAACTTCAGGAATTCTTGGTTGATGGTGATACTGTAGGCAGTAGCAGACAATATTTTAATATCAGTTTATCCATGAACAATCACACTGTTATCCTGCTTTCATTCGTAAACTGCTGTTCAAAATCAAACAACTGTAGAGGGGGTTTTTAGCAAGGAGGAGTAATCAGCAACTCGCATATCTGTGATGAAAATTCAGAGGCAAGTATGTGAGTTGGGATTTAAACATCCAGAGAAGTTGGTTATGCTTTGCAGTTGGATTTGACAGTTAACCAATCACTTGCTAGAGGCCTTTTCATTTACTAACTTTAAGTTTAATGTAGCACTTACCTTTATATCTTGCATCTCTTCATTTACCTGAAAATAGTATATCTACTCCATACTTGTTTTTAGAGCTACTGAGATCTCATGCATTAGTTAACAACAAAATAAAACCATGCAAAACTAAAAGCTTCTAGCAGTGCTCCTTGAAACAGCAAATGCAAAAATTACACTTATGAAGACCAATGGTGCTATAACAGCTTTATTTTTTACTTAATACAAGGCAATTAGAGTGCCTTTTAATACTTCACATAACAGATATTAGCAAATACAAATATATATACTTTTTTTTTTTGCTTTTAATGAAAACGTCCATTTAAGGATTTAACTTAGAAATTTCAGTTGTGAAATCTCTCTAGATTTTTGCAAAGTTAACAGATATTCCAGTGCAAAAATAGATCCCATCACAGATAGCATAAAGTGCTTGGAACGAAGGACCAACTATAATTCAGGAGGGAAAGATAAGCACAACAGTAGTTGTTTAACCATGGGGAAAATACAACAACTCCTTACTGAAATACAAATGTACTACAAAGAGGGATGCAACATATCAATAGTACTGAAGTTTAAAATAAGTTAACACCTCAGTGTAGTTTCATAATTAAAAGTGGTTCACATAATGTGTATGACTAGAGTGATTTTTTCCCCAACACATACTTAAGTAAAAATTAGTGGCTGTCTGAACATATTCCATGACCAATCTTCATGCCAGTGTTGCATTATGCTGTCTGTTCAGTACAAACAATGCAGATCAGAGCTGTGAAGTATTTGATTAATATCCACATTTACTGCAATATTTTGTCACAGATAGCAGACCCTGTAAGCATGACAGTCATGGGGCAATAGAAATCAAGAATCTTTTTGGTGGGCTAAGGAAAGTGTATTACCATGTAACTGTTGTTTCCTGATACATGAATAATTTAAATGAGCAGTTACCAAGAGCAAACCACAGCCCTTTCAGGACCAAATCTGAATCCTCCTAGAACTCGTTCTGGCTCTACATGCACTAGTTTGGTGCAGTGCAAAACATTAGCCCTTCACTTCAGTGATGTAATGCTGATTTGTAATAGCAACTTTTAGCAGTGGCAAGCCTCCAGGACATGCTACTTGTTTAAATGATACGGCAACATACTTGCAGCCTGTTCTGGAGTAGTCATGGCTGTAGCTCTGCTGTTTCTGCACCTGGAAGTCTGGTGTATTCATCACCCTGTAACTCATCCCCATAGAGTGATGATGTCATAAAGGTAATAACAAAGTATGTTTTCAGTGAGGTATACCAATCCCCTTTACACTCCTTTTCTCAATCCCCTTAGCAATGAATTATACAGATTTAAAAAAAAAATAGTATGAAAAAGGCACTTCAGCAGAGCCTGTACTAAGCTCTTACTTTACCTCAAGGCAGGACACAGAGGGACAAGGAACTTGGTTTAACTGTGTTTTAAAAATGTTGAGTTTGGTCAGTGTCACCAAGTATACTTGGAAATATGTAATTAATCTTCTTCAGGCTCATGCCAGCCATTTCAGTATTTGCTGGGCTGCTATGGTCATTCACAGAAGAAAATGGTCCATGACTGATTCATGGAGTAGCATCAAAACTAGTGCAGAACCTCTGTGGGTATTTAAGGCAGAGGCATAGCATACAGGAACAGCTCGGGAACTGCACTTGTGTTCAAACCACATTACTGAACCAATTTTCAAATGTAAAAGCAACACAGAGGGGCCCTAAAAGCATACTTTCCCATGACCGTTGTACAGTGTGAACAAGCATTGGTTGTTCTTGCTGTATAATTTCCCCTCTAATATTAGTCTGGCTTTGTAAAACTTGAAAAACTTGACTGATGAACTGTAGCACTATTATCCTGAACTCTCTGGTTTTTCAGGAGGATTTTTTTACTGAAACAGTTGTTTGTCACATGTATAACAAGGGTGTATACTCCAGTTAGGGATCACCTAATGACTGAAACTACACTGCACAACAGAAGCAGAAACTTACACATTAATGTTATACCAGTTTCCAAACAGGAAAATTTTAGGTGAACAACTTGCAGTTGTTTGTGGATAGCAGCTGATTGCTAGAATCTGGAACATGGTCAGATCATGAATGCAGCTATCCACCACATGGACAGAAAGAGAGCATAGCATTACAGGCATAATGTAAAGAAATACCGTGGCTACAAAGATCAACTGAAAGCATCTCCAATCCCTAATTATGCTACCTACCTATTTAAAGTCATAAATAATACTGTTAAAAAAAAAATCTACATCTTGTTTCTAGTTTTATCTGGCAAAGCCAGAAACAGCAACATGCTTGTGCTAAGCAGTAATTCCAGATGTTGGGTACCTTTCTGGTGCAAAGCAGGGGTTAAAGAGCAGATATTACAAATCTGAGTGACAGCTCATGATTTAGAATTTGCTCTTGGCATTAGCAGCTTGTACAACTACTGAGTTTGCTGCTGTGGTCCAAACCCTATGTCTGCTTCTCACCCACTTCTTTCTACTAGACGTTGA